TGATTACCGAGACATTCTGCAGAACCTCCTGGCACAGCAGCCGGACGCTGGTGTTGTTATCCTGAGCTTGCTTGGGGAACAGAAAGAAAAGATGTCTCTAGGTTAGGGGTCAGCGAGGAAGCCAACCCCGCAAGTATGAGCTGCTTCCCCGGACCCCTAAATCCAACCAGTCTATGAGGTCCCAGAGACCAGAGGGACCAAAGGAGGACCCAGGAGGGGTGGTGCTGAGCTAGCCCCTGGGGAGGGGGGACAAGTCTTATGTATAGAACATCACTAAGCATGTCCCCTCACTCCCACACAGGCATATGGAATCTCAGGTCTGAACACAGACTTGCTGAAGGACTTGTTTGATTCTTTTGGTCATTTGAGACAAGAGGAAATAAGTCAGTTTGGTTTGCCTCTGTATTTTGCAGGGTAAGGAGGAGACATGGGGGAGGAGGGGCTGCACCTGGAGCTCCCTCTGCAGCCCAGCCATTCATTTCAGATCTTGAACTTAGAACCAGAGCCCACCATTCAGGATGAAGCCTGACAAATCAGCATATTTCCTTCCCTTGAGCTCTGTTTATTTTACTAGAGGCTGACCACATCTTTCTGAGCCTCAGTTTTCTCATGGTACCAAGGGGCTTATAGTGCCTCCTGACCTCCTTGAGTTCTTATGTAGAAAACTGATGAGGAACCTGTGAAGGTCTTCATAATTATCCCCATGGCTGGGTCCAGAGCATCTTTGCACTCACCACAGTTTCCTGGATGGTCCAGAAGGCCTCCCTCAGTTGGTGGAGATTGACCCCTTCTGCTCGGCAGGGCCCAAATTGGAATTCTTGGCTCTGGAGCCCTGGTACCTGGCTCCAGACAAACAGGATCAGACTCAGGCAAGGAAGGGTGACCATCTGCAACCAAGAGCTCATCTGCAGCAAAGAAAGAGCAGACAGATCCTGCTGAAAGAAAGGGGGCCTTCTCCTGAGGCATGACCTCTGATCGGGAGGGATACACCCCAGTATAATGCTCTGTGAGTCTGTCTAGGCCAACCTCAGGAGCATACAGATGGGGCACCTGAGTGTGCCATGGTCTGAATGTCCCAAGAAAAACTCATATTGAAAAAAAAAAAAAAAAAACAACTCAACATGAGGTATGAAGAAATGGGGCCAGGTGAGAACTTTAAGAGGTGATTAGATCATGAGGATTCAGCCCTCCGTGAGTTAATCCATTCATGAATTAATGAGTTAATGGATCATCTAAAAGCAAGTCTGTTACAAAAGCCAAGTTGCCCACTGCTTGGGATGCTGCATAGAGTCCCCACCAAAAGAAGACCCTTACTAGATATGGCTGCCTGTTCTTGAATTTCCTAGCCTTCAGAACTGTGAGCCAAATATACTCTTTTTCTTACAAATTTTCCAATCTCAGATATTCTCCATTAGAGAAACAGAAATAGGCTAAAATAGATGGGTTCCCAAGCTTGAATACTACAGACGTGGGGGGCTTGTTGGGATGCACTAGGGTGGGGCTAAAGCTTCCGGCTCCTCAATTTCATACACGCTGGTCTTGCCGTCTCTCCACCTGCCCTTCTCCACTCCACATTTCTATCTCCACATCCCTGTACCCACTTCCTTCTGCATTACAGCCATCCCGGGCCTCCAGCCTGCTAATTAGAATTTGACCACCACCACTACCACCCCCACACACACACACAAAAAGTAAGAACATGCCAAAGAACATGTCTAGCGAGCCCAAACTCAGGAAAGTGTTGCTTCCATATTTACTTATCTGAGATTTGCCCAGGCACGCTAAGACAGGTCTCCCTCCCTCCTCCCAGGAGGTGACTACCCCTGATACCTCATCACATTCCTGGCCCAAAGGGAGGGGGCAGAAAGTACAGCCAGGTCACTCTACCATCTCAGCTGACCAACTCACTCTTTTTTGTTTGTTTGTTTTAGGAGTACTAGGGATTGAATCCAGGGGCACTTAACCACTGAGCCACTTCCCCAGCCCTTTTTTAAAAAAAAATTTTTATTGGCACATTATAGTTATACATAATGGTGGTATATGTTATAATATATTCATATGCACACACAATAAAACATAAGTAAAACAGTAATTTGATCAGTTTCATGCCCCAGTACCTCCCCTCCTTCCCCCTGATTTTCTTTCTCTATTCCATTGGTCCCAGCCCTTTTTAATATTTTATTTAGAAACAGGATCTCACTGAGTTGCTTAGAGCCTCACTAAGTTGCTAAGGCTGGCTTTAAACTTGCGATCCTCCTGTCTCAGCCTCCCAAGCCGCTAGAACTAACAGGCGTGTGCCACCACACCCGGCAACCAACCCACTCACTCCAGACTCTTAAGAACTGGCTTTGCAAGTAACTGAACAAGAGAACGGAATCAGAGTTCCAGATGACTCACCTTTCAAACTCCTCTGAAGTGCCAACTGGAGAAGTCTGTGTGAAGGGCTCCCCAGCAAAGGAACTCGGCACCCTGATCTACTTATAACTGTATGCAGAGAATTTCTTTCTAGTGCTTTCTTTGCCCTTCGTTTTTCTTCTTTTCTTCTTTCCTCCCTCTCCATCTCCCACACTCTTTATTTCCTACTTCTTTCCAACACCACTGAAGAACCTTTCCTGTTCCAGGCCCTGTTCTCACACCTAAAGAAAGAGCCTCCCACCCCCAGACTGGAAAGACGGAGAACCCTGCCTTTGGAATGATCACCAACACCTGGGAAAGGGAATAGGTGTCCAAGGCCAGTGTTCACTGTCCTTTGTCACGTGGGTCTGTGTTTCAGCATCTCCTTCAAAGTCTTTCCATTCCCTTCTTTCAAACTCTACAGGTTTTGTGGTCTCTCTTGAAAATTCATCTCTGGGTCTCATAATCCTCCTGGCCTTCCTTCCGCACCAACTGAATTCTTTGTGATGTTGAATTAGAGAAACATCTCCTCAACCCATCACATCTTGTCCTTAAGAAACACTCAAATGGACTTCTGCCATCCCCCCATGACTGCCAGCCCCAGGTAAAGCAGCAGCCCCATGCTTCAGAACAAAGATGCCAGAATCCCCCATTACTCACCTCAGGCTCCGTAAGTGACACTCCAGGGCTGGCTGTTTGGAGGGAGCTGGTCTGGTTTTATAGACAAGTAAGCTAAGCCACACTTCCTCACCATGCACCAAGTGACTGGACCCTTCCTGTATATAAGGGGGCTGGGGAGGGGAGGGACAGAGGAGGAAAAGGAGGTGGGGAGAGGATTATTTGTCATGGAATACTTAATTGTCTAGTCACCCTTCACTTTAAGATAATGAAGCAACACAGAAGGCGGTCCCTGAGGTGAGATGAGACCTGGGTCTGAATTCAGGCTCTCCCACTGTCTCTGTGGTCAAAGACAAGTGTCCTTGCTTCTCTGAGCTGCAGTTTCTACATTTATAAAACTTAAAAAAAAAGAAAAAGAAAAAAAATCTGTCCTACTTCTCCAAGAAGGCAGGTAAAAGGAGAAAAGACAGTGACAGAGAGGTGCTTTTTAAATTCTGTACACAGAGCATACCAGTCTTATGATGTCAGAATAATTCAATGATTATGCTTAATTCATGATGGGTCAGTAGCCCAGAGGCTAAGGCTAGCCCCTAAGTGCCTCCCCTTCAGTCCCTTGGGGCCAGGAACTTTTAGAAGTGTTTTCTGACATGCACTACTCACAGTCCCTAGGGTTAAAGTCATTCAACCCAAACATATTTCTCCTTAGATTCTAGAAACTAGGAAAAATAAGAAAGTGTCTACATAGACCGGCCTGAAAAGCTGGGGGCCCTAGTATCCTGGTAGAGTTGCCCTGGCCTGTGCAGTGCTGACTGGGCTCACCCAGGGGATGCAGGCAGTGTATCAAGCCCAGCAGAGGCCATCAAAAGACCTGACCACAGCTCCAGCTAATGAGGCCCTTTGGCTTCAGTTTCCCTGCATGTGGAATGAGGGCATCAGCTGGAGCAGCATTTTCCAAAATGTAGTCCATAGAACCTCGTCTTGATGAATGCTTGCCTTGTAGAATACACCATGAAACAAGATAATGCATAGTCGGAGCAACCAGAGAAGCCCAGTGTGTACTTGTCCCTCTTGGAAACAGATGATGTGCCTAAGAGTGGTAAATATTTTGAGGAGGCCAGTGGAATGTGGGGGCTGTGACCAGCCTTGTTTCACCCCTTCACCTCAGAATAGATTTTACCTTTATAAATGACTGGAAAAAATGAATCAAGGAAAGGAACAATATTTTGTGACACATGAAAAAATACATGAAATTCAGATTTCAGTCCCACCAATAAAGTTTTATTGGGACATAGCCACACCCAATTATTCACTTACATTGGCTACTCTTGTGCTACCAGTAACAAAATGAGCAGCTGTGGTTGAAAGCACATGGACCTCAGAGCCTGGGGCACTCACTCTCTGGCTCTTTACAAAAGGCATTGAAGACTCCAATAGTTTAAGACTTCCTAGACAGTTGTTTATATGGAAATTGTCTGGTTTTCACTGTTTGATTAAAAAAAAAACAACACAAAAACTGTAAGCCTAGGATAGACCGACAAATAACTATGATATTTTTAAACAATTAAGTTCCATTTTAATTTTTATTTTGCTACCTAACAGGAAATGCTATGGTCAACTTACGAAATAACCTTAGTTACACCATATTTACAGGTTATTGCGCTTTACTGGGAAATCTTAAGAAAAAAAAATTGAGCTAAAGTTTAACAAAATCCTTTACTGTATAATTTAAAAAAATAAAACAAGACTATACTTAAAAAAAAAAAGGCGTTGTTACACCTGTTCTACATGTGAATGTTCTCAGAGTTCCCTTAATCTGGGTCCAAGCAGAAATGGAGTGGGAATGATAAGAGAAGGATAGCAGTCCCCAGGTAGATGGAGAAGAAAGAACTGTGTACATGCTCCGTGTGTGTGTGTGGGGGGGGGGTGCTCCCCTCCCCCATTGGCAGACGTGCTGTTGTTTGTTTTCTTAAGCGACAAAACATGCGCAATCCCCAGCCAGCACCCAATTGGCCATCACTGTCACCAGCTGAGTCCTCCTCCATCTTGCCCTAGGCAGGGACTCTTCACACTTTCCCTTGCTTCAGGATCTAGAACATTCCTAAACACCCCTGCCTCCTGTGAGAAGAATGACAAGACAGTGATGAAGCAGATCCGAAGATGAAGACGAAGACGGGTGAGAGTGTGGAGCAATGATGGGAGGAGACAGGAAGCAGAAAGGGAAAAGGAGCCATGGGTCAGCACCCAGCTGACAGGTGGATGGGCAGGCAAGATGAGCTGGTTCCAGGGCAGGCAGGCTGGAACAGGGTCACATGGCAGTGGTATGGCTCAGCAAGCTCCAGGATATCCACCTGGGCTCAGAAGCAGCACACTCTAAGGAAGGGAGAATGTAACATGGATATTCCAAGCCAACCCAGGTCTGCGCCTCAGCCTCCAGGAGCCTGTCACAGCACCACTCCGAGAGGGGAAGCAATAAGAAAGCTCAGGGACCTTAGCCAACATCCACTGAGACCACTGGCTTTGGAGGCAGGCAGACCTGACTTGGGTTCCAAGATGTGAACTTCCGCTTTCTCACTTGTAAAATAGAGTCCTCACAGGGCTACAGGGACACATATAACTTTGCTCTCAGAGTGATCCATGAGCCAGTGGCAACAACAATGCATAGGAGCCTGTTAGAAATGCAGAATTTCAAATCCTTCCCAAAATTACTGAATCAGAATGTGCATTTTCAGAGACTCTCAGGGTGATTCTCATGTCCATTGAATTTTGAGAAGCACCTGTGTAAAATACATGAAGGACTTGACCCTGTGTCTTTCACACAGTAAATGCTCCAAGGGAAGGGGAAAAGGACTAGAGGAGGGGCTCTGCATGATGATTTGGTCCCCAGGGAATAGTGGCCAACATCTGGAGACATCCTTAATTGTCTTAACTTGGGGGAGTTACAACATCTAGCAGAATGGCCAGGGTTACTGCTAAGTATCCTGAGTGCACAGGCTAGCCCCTCACCACGAAGAGTTACATGGCCCAAGATGTCAGTAGTGCTGAGGTTAAGAAACCTTGGGCTAGCCCAGCACGGTGGCTTACGCCTGTAATCCCAGTGGCTCAAGGCTGAGGCCAGAGGATCTAGAGTTCAAAGCCCGCCTTAGCAAAAGCAAGGTACTAAGCAACTTGGTGAGACCCTGTCTCTAAAAAAAAAAAAAATACAAAATAGTGCTAGGGATGTGGCTCAGTGTTCAAGTGCCCCTGAATTCAATCCCTTGTCCCCTCCCTCCCCCCAAATAAAAGAAACCCTGGGCTAGAGGGAAGAGAAGAAAGAGGTGGCTGTAGGGGCAAGAGCTGGAAGAGAAACAGAGAAAGATAAGAAGGTGAACCTTAGTGGAGGGGGAGGTAGTGCCCAGAGCACCAGTGGCAATAAATGAGTAGGGCCTGGTCCATTGCCTCTGTCTTGAACCAAGCCTAGTCCTGAGGTTCTTCTACTCCCAGTGAAAGGATGGAACTTGGGGACTTACCTTTACAAAAATACTGGGTGAAAGAAAAGTGCACCTGAGGGTGAAGTGATCTTGACCTTCATGACAAGGCCAGGTTTAGAAAAAAAAAAATCTCTTCATGATACTTAGGTGTTTTGCTCTGATACTCTAATGCCACCTCTGACCTTTATATCTCTCTGCCAAACCTGAATTTTACCTTCAGAAAATAAATCTACTTGGGCATCCCAGCCCCCTCCAAATTCCTCTGAACCTACATAGAGAGAAAGGGACTGAACCACTGTGGAGGGAAGTCCCGTCTCCAATTCTGGGTGAGACCATAGAGAACTCACTCGTAAGCCTAAGTCTCCCCTCTTTCTGATTGATGGAAATGCCCTATAGGAGGGAAGCACAGAGCATAATAGTCTGAAAGCCAAAAGATAGGAGAAAGTGATATCATCATTTTTCTTCCAGTGAATTGAGTTTATTCTTCATTATAAACCGGATTTTAATCCCTCCCTTTGGCTTGGAAGCCCATGTGGCAATGAATGTGTGATGTTTGGTTAGCCCTTTTCCCTGTCTTGGTTATAGATGTTCAAGGAACAGGAATGGGGTTTGGGGGATGTCCCCAGGTGGACTCCCTGATGCTGTCACTTTGCATTGCACCTTACCCTGTGTCATTGGAGGGTACATGATTTATTCTTACAGGCATGTCAAAGGATAGGAGAAAATACAAACATAAATGATTCTCCACTGGTGCAGCCTGCTTAGACATTCAAAACCCTTCCAAGTGGGTTTTCTCATTTGCATTCTTGCCTCCTTTGTGGATTAGCAAGCTGAGGGTCAGGAAGGTCATGTGACTCTCCCTGGCTTATAGAAATGAACAACAGAACCGGGACTAGAGTGCAGGTCTTCTGACATTCAGCCCTTCTGGCTTTTTTATTATTTCCCTGAAACACACTTCAGGTCAGTCAGTTTCTCATTCTTTTCTACATTCACTTATTCATCAAGTGCACATTCTCTAAGCACTACTGAGTGTCAGAAAATGCTATCAAAAACAAAACAAAACAAAAAACCCACAACCTGAATTACTATGGTAACAGTTATATAATATTTAAAAAAGGAAAATCCATTGGGGCAGAAAATAGACTATTTCCCCAAGCCTGGGAGTTAGGGGCAGGATGAGTGGGAGGAATAGGAGTGGCCGTGAAGGAGTATGGGGTTTCTTTGGGGGTGATGAAAATGTTCGAGTATGTAAAATTAGAGTGTGGGAATGGCTGCACAACTCTCAATATACAGTAAACCATTGAATTATACACTTTAGCAGATGATCTCTGGCATGATGTCACCTCCAAGGTTGATTTTTCTAAAGGACAGTTTAAAAAGAAAGTGAGGAAGGAAGGAGGGGCTTCAGTGGAAATGAGATGAATCTCATTCTCAAGTATTAATCAGGATCAATACTCTTAATAGAGCACCCTCTTTTCCTCCTATCCAAACCCTTTCTTTGCACTTACAAGAAACTCTTTTCATTCCCGGGCAGCATTGGTTTCTCCTATGCGCCTGTGGACTACTGCTAGTCCTTTTGGGATGACATCAATGTCATTCTTCCCTAAGCCCTGGTTGTCTTCATTACCAGGCTATGAATCACTGAGCACCAGGCCTGAGTCTTATCCATCTCAGAATTCCCCTCAGAACCTGGCAGATGGCAGGAGCTTTGCATTTGATGAATAAGTGAATTTCATATGATGGGTGTGATATCTCCTCCTCCTGCCCTGCACATAGCCCTTCTAACCCTCCTGATCTCTGATGATATCTTCTCATGCTAATGAGATCATTGAAGACCGAGGGCTCCTGAGTAGCTTTGGGGTGAGGCTGCTTGCCAGAGGAACTAACCATGTGATTGGAGGATTGGAACAATCAGCCCTGTATCCACCCCTCCATACCCCTTCTCCCAGGAAGGGGAGAGAGGCTGAAGGTTGAGTTGCTCACCAAGGACCAGTGGTTAAATTAATTACAACTGTGTCAGGAAAACTCTAAAGGACAGGGTTCAGAGAGGTTCCCAGTGGTAAACATATGGAGGGGTTGAGGGATATGGAGATTCCATGTCCCCTCCCACATGCCTTACCCTATGCCCCTCTTCCTTCTGGCTGCTACGGGTAATAACTGGTAATCCAATAGGAAAATTGTTTTCCTGAGTTCTATCACCCATTTCAGAGAAGGATGAACCAGGGGAGCCCATGGTGAGGATCTCCAATTTTTAAGTATGTAGTCAGAAGCTCATTGATTACCTAAACTGCCAATTGCTATGTCAAGTAAGGGCCGTCTTGTAGGACTAAGGCCTTAACCTATGATATGATACTAGTTCCAGATAGACAGGGTCAGAATGGAATTGAAATGTAGGACAACCAGTTAATGTCTACTGAGAATTAAAAAATTGGTTGGGGTGTGCCGCCCACAACCAGCACAGGCAGCTGAACTGAAGATTGCTCATGTGAATTTGCAAAGACTCCAAATAAAATACGGGTACAATTTACCTTTACACAAGCTTCAGGGTGTCTTCTCCACTCTCAGCCTCAGGCTCCCCGAAAGGGAGAGCAAGAGAAAGTCATGAGAGGGCTGGAGAGAGAGAGAGAGAGAGAGAGAGAGAGATCAGAAGTGAGCTTTTATGGGTGTGTGTGTGTGTGGGGGGGGTGTCTCTTGTTCTTAGAAAGTTCTATCCAAAAAAGGGCAGAAGGGGCAGGGCTACAAGGGACAGATGAGTGTAACTCAACCCTGAGGGCACGTTCCACAAAGAAGACCTCTTACTATCTGAGCTAGACCCCACCCAAGCCAGAGCAAATGCAATGGTTGGTCAGAATCTGAGGCATCAGGACTGGAAGAGTGTGGTCATTCATTGTGGCTTCCCACAGTGGTGGGAGGAAAAAAATCTCCACGTGTGTTGACCATAAATACTGGTGTGAGCAGAGTAGTAAAAGTACTACTACATAATTTCACTAGTCTCCAAATATTAACTGTTATTATGTGCAGGTCAACCAGCATCCCACACTATTTGTTACGAAGTCTTTCTCAGGCATTCCTCCCCTTTGCTCAGGCAAGAGCCATAGGCTGTGAGACATGGCTTGTATCCCGTGACATTAAACACCTGAACCAACCTTTCACGTGCCCTCAGTATAAGAGAAAAAAATTCAGGAAATGTCATGGCCACACATCTAGAATCCCAGGGAAACAGAATCTGTGATCAGGCCAGCGTGAGAGTCCTGGGTCTGTGAATGAGAACATCCTAGTGGTGCCAGCTGGAACTAGTCACATCCATTCTCTGTGCCACCTGCCTCATTCTGTTTATGGTGGAAAGGGGCCCCTCCATCATGTATCTTATAGAATATCCTCCAGTCTCACCCCCTTTAAAACCCTTCTCCCTCATTTAGGAGACTCTAAATGCACTACCCTGATCAAAGTATTTCTCAGCCCCCAAATCACCTTCTGCTTCTGATAAGGAAAGTTCTCTCCTCTGGCCCATTGCTTTTTTTCTCCTTTTATAAAAGTCTCACCTAGGGCTTAGCACAGAGCCTTCTACCCACCAAGTGTCCATCAGTGTGATTATTAACAAATCAGCTCTTAATTTCAAAACCAGGTAAATGGAATATACTTAAGGAAGACAATTAAATTGCTTTTTACTGTTGTGTGATCCTCAACTGGTTATTTCTGGGTATAA